TAGGCACTCTTGATATGTTGAATATTATCTAAGCAATAAATTACAGTAGAAGGCAATTTAGAATGCACTAAAGAACATACTAGATTATGTACTAAACACAGTAAAGAATTGCGTCAGCACGTCTTAACCAAATCACTGCTTCAATAACATCCAGTGTTTTATCAGAATAATTTGTTAATTTTAAATGATATAACTAGAATTTGTTTATAAAAAGGAAGAGATTTGTGGGTAGTAATTATACAACCCGAGCAAGAAATCTTATGTAACAAAATGGGCCCTCAAATAAAGGAATCTAGCAATCAGCAGTGTAGCTGTTTACATACAGTTAGGCGTTGCAGTCTTTTCTGTGAAGTGGATGCAGATACAATTTACACTGGTTTAATCTAACCTTTTCATTTCGGCAAAAGAAACATGCAACATTTATTTTAAGTTGGTTTGTATTTCCGAGGAAAGGAGATTCTTATTACTTGTAAAAAGGCATTAAAAATCTGTGGGCTACATCTGTCTTTTGAAGGTTTTGGTATCTGACAAATGCTAAAAGATGACATGTTACAGAAGGACAGGTTTCAAGCTGAAATGACTAACAATCCTATTCCTCTGAACTTTGTAAGCAGCATTCCTTTTCTGTTCTAACAAAGTTTAGAGAAGGCAAATAACTAAAGAATCCTCCTGGGGTATGTTTCCTTTGGTAAGATCAAAATGCATACATCAGAAGACTGTAAGAAATGCCTTACTGAGGGGAGAACAAGCTAGCACAGTATTCTGCCATTTCTATTTCTTTCCATTCCTAGTATTCCCCTTCTCTTTGCTTTCTTTCATTCCTTCTTGCAATCCTCTCTCAGCTTGTAGGTAGTTAGGTTTGCGGTAGCTGCAGCAGCCAGTGACGTCTGGGTATCACAGTCCCTATTTTGTGTTCTCCTCTGAGAGGCATCTGGAATTCGTCTTTCGCATCCCTTGTGCTCTGCTGTTTCTTATGCATAAGGCTGCTGCTCTGTGGAATATGTGAAGAGCCAAAGAGCAGGATTTTCACAGAAAATCAGAGGTTGCAGCAGTTAAGATCAGAAATATACTGAAAATATTATCAAAAGTGGAATCAAGATGCTGTTATACAGTCTTTGATATGGTGATCCTCAGAGTAACTTTAGGAATATAAGAGGAAAATCTAAAAAGCCATAAGGAAAGGATTTTTTTTTTTGAATAGAGAGCTTTGATAAAGGAATAGAAAAAAATAAGACTTTATCCTGCATTGAATGATTCACTCAAATGATATCCAGAAATATTTTACATTGTTAAATAAGAGGCGAAGCTGAAAACTCTAGGAGAAAAAAAAAAGGACTTCAGAAAAGCTTCGTTTTTTTTCTAAGATATGTAGGTGGACAGAAATTTTAAGTTAAAGAGCATCCAATATTAAAAGATCTGCACCTTCAAGTATCATTTCAGATAAAATGACAATAGACTGACGCACGGGCCTTTAGATTCAGGAGATTTTATCAAGGACAGATTTTGGCACAAAAGTAGGAATAGTTCTTGGGATAGAACACTGCTGATATAAAGGATAATGAAAAAAATGTTATTGGAGTTATAGAAAGTAAGCATCAGATGAGAGAGGAGTAGGCAGTTCTTTAATGCAGAACATATGTAGAGTACAGTAAGGAGGCAACAAGGGACGTTGTAAATGAGATTCAGTGACTAATTTCCCCAGTGGCAAAACTCCTACACATTTTGAGTACAGATTGAGAAGAATATACATGGCAAAACAGATACTCGTATTAAATAATGCCAGAGGAGAGAAAAAAAAATCGAATGGATTTCGGAAGTGGCTGTAGGGATCAGAAGGTCAACGGGAACAGCAGGTAGGCCAGAAAGCTGAGGAATGAAGTGGGAGTCCAAAGCAGGAGAATACATGCAAGGAATCAGTGCTTCCAGTAATGAGGGACCAATCTTCTCCTATTTAGATTTTATCACAATCCTAAGAGTAATTACTAAATCCATCCCCATTTTTTTTTGTTTTCAATATGCAGAAAAAGGGATTTTTAGTTTTTCGTAAGAGATATACTATATTTTAACATATTACTCCTATGTTTATAATAATAAATATGACATTTGATTACTGTTGATTATCTTTAATTTCATAGTAGGGTTGAGCCATCCCAGCATAAAATATTGTGCATCTTTCTCATATATTTCATGTATATTCAGGAATTGAAGACAGTAAGAATTATGGATTGGCCATATTTAAAGTGGTGAGAAGATCCCATATTCACCTACGTCTTTTTTCTGAAGAAAAGTTCCTACCTAGGCACTGTCATGAAATGGCTGCTTAAGCAATTCCTCCTTGCTCAAAGAAGAAATATAAATCCAACCCATTATTATAGTAAACTGCTTGTATGACATCTCATAAAGTTTATACTAAGCCCACTATGGGAAATGTGAGCAGCACTATGGGAGACCAACCCTGCGTGATGGAAACACTTCAGTTTTCATTTTATATGCATATAGTCCACAGCTAAAGGGAATTTTACTCAGTTAGCGATGCTTCCTTTGTAATCGCACTTGAAAAGTATTGACAGATCCAGCCTTTTGTGAAAAAAAAGCTAATTGCAGCAAGCATAGTACATTTACAATCAGTTTAATATGGTGCCTTTGCTTTATTACTTCATAGATCGAATACTGTCTTGCAAAATGATGAGCTGTTCTGAGTTGCAATTAAGCATTTAGTAGAGGCTGGATACAGCAGATGGAGGGCATTTATTTGAGTTCACTGTGAAATAATAGCACAAGGACAGAGACCAGGGTAGAACTACAATTAGGCATAAACTGAGAGTCACGTATGTCATTTTAGAAATCAGGTGCATATTCTATACCTTGCTTTTTATGTTTTGAGTTTTTATTTTTCTTATGCAATATTTCACATCAAAAAAATGAACCATGAAGATTATACAGCCGTTTTGATTTATTCATCTGCAGACACATGCAAAAACTTTCGCATTGCCTATACAAGCAACAACATCCAACATTTGCTATCCTGTCATCAATTTATTTTTTCCAATTATGAAATAAGCACCATCTTTCAAAAAAAAAACAAAACAACAACAAAAAACCCAAACAACTCAGTCTTTTGTTCAGACATCCTACGATATGACATCCTATGAAACATCCTATGGATGTTTCTTTCCTCTGTGCATACTTTGCTTTGTGGAACTGACTTAAGGTATGAACAAGGCAATGTAATTCTGAAGTCTAGGTTACAAGCATAAGAAAAAAAAATCTTCATAGTTCCCCTGCTTCATCCCATTTATCCAGTGGCTTTATATGAGTCAGCAAGAGCTATCTGCAGTGCTTTCAGACACATCAAAGAAACATTAGCAAGTACTCAGTTATTACTATAAACATAAATCATTCTCTGGCTTCCAAACCTAGGTCATAAGGGCACTAAAGACTGAAGAAAATTAGCTCTTTCCTGACCATCTGGACTCAGGCAACTAATACTCCTTCTTGGAAAAGATGAAGATGCAAATAAACAAGGAGGAATGACTGCAGTCTTCTTCCCAGAGTTATGAGCAGAGTTCATATTCAGGCTGCAGGTAAAATATCAGAGTGACAACTGATTTTTAGGTACGGACTGCTATGCCCACAGATGTGCTTATTTTTCTAAATGGGGCCAGACAGTAAGTAAATGATGTTGAATTAGCCTTTGGGACCATCGCAAGGCTTTTGAGTTACTGCTTTTCAAAGCATAAGGCTGTGAAGACACAGATTTTCATATTGAAGTATTATTTTTGTGGGAAATAGCATAGCTCAGTATTGCACCCAATACGGATGGTAAGAGCTTGCACTTTGAGGGAGTGCGTAATTAATGCCAAGCTGTTGGAGGCGGATTAATAACTGTGTGCATCCATCTGAAGTTTGGTATGCACCACGTTTTCTCAAATCCTCACTTATTGTTATTGAAATGCAAATCCACTTGTAAGTGTTCCTTCCTCTCTCAGAAAAAAGAAATATTCCTGTAGATGTTTGAAGTTGTGTAACTTCTAAGTTACTCATATAACTGATTCAGACTCCCTATGTGGAGTCTCTTGCGGGGGGAGGGGATCAGTCTTACTGCCAAGAAAACCTGGAGGAAAAAAAGGAAAAAAGGAAAGACAGCAGTTCTTTACACGAGGACGACGCAAAATACCCTCCAGCAGCACCGTTTTCCAAACTTATCCCTTCTGTTTGGCAAATACTGGGGAAAAACCGCCCCGTTGAACGCGGCCGCAGGAGGCG